GTCGAAACCCCACTCCCTGAATCTGTGAAGGTAGGCATGGTAATAGAGAACATGACTTCAGAATCTGTCACCTTTTTTAGCAATAGGGCGGTCCCTTACTTGTTTGATGTTATGCTTGAAAGAGTATCGCGATATGAGCGAGCCAAGGAGGATGAAGCCAAAATCTTTTGTAACCTAATGATAGTCGACCCTCCACAAGAAGGAGAAGGGAATAAGGATTCGACTAGTGAGGGACCCTCTCAAGAAGGAGAGGTGAACTTCATCGACGTGAACTTGATCGAGAAAAATGACCCTTCTGCAAATCATAGACGAGAAGAGAAAAAAAATTACTCAACCACATGGAGAATGCAGACTTCCATGCCAAGGAAATTCACTCACATCGATATCCTTTTAACCCATCATCCCAAGTAAATGCAATATAAGAAGACCCACACGTGTGGGATGGTGAATTAGACTCACAAGTGATCCAAGATGAACTCGAGCATAAGCTACCGAGATTCAGAAGTTGTAGATTCTCAAACTCATGGTGACAAGAAAAACCTTACGTCCGATATGATTACTCTTAAGGAAACTGAGCAGCAAATTCTTCAAGAAAAATTATTTCCTCAAAAATCAAAGGAAGCTGATCTTTTATAACTCTTACGAGACCCACCTAGGCCATCTTCACTAGACTTGCTCTCCAACCTACCTATATGGGATGAGGAGCCATGCTTAAAAGATTTAATTGAGTCACCCTTTGAGATGAACCCAGTTATAGATGATGGCGAAGCAAATAGCCCAAATTTGACTAGTCCAAAAGATTTGATACCTCCACTAGAGTCGAAAGAGCTCGAACCTTTAGAAATTATAAGGGGATCACTTGGGCTACCTTCACAAGATTTTGTGGATGATTCGCCCATCTGGGACAAAGAACGAAATATTGAATACCGACATAGGTCATCTCCTCAAGAGGAGAGATTTCCAAAGCTTAACTAGGGCAGGAACACAACTTCGATAGCCGGGGCACCCCTATATCAAGAAAGTTCATCTCATGAAGAACAAGTTCCTAATGGAATAAAAAGCCCTGCAGGGGCAACCCATCAAACTACCTAATAGGGGCAATCTCCTCTCATGAAGAGGGCACAACAGGGGCAATTAATGAGATTGAGCCCCTATTTGTTAACTCCCAACATGCCATAAGGCCATTCATCGTCAACTCAGTTACTCTTCTTGTGAGAGAGTCTCTCCCAAGCTCGAGCAGAGAAGGAGCCCACTACGGAATTAACTCCTAAAAAGAAGCACAAAATTTGAAATGAAAGAGACAATTGTAAAGGAGTTGGGTGATCACTCACCCTTGCAAATAACCAAATGGGGCATTCACGCCTCAAACTTCAAAAGGCATTAATGCCTAATGAGTAATATAAATATTCTTATTAACGGGGAAAAACCTAATGAGCTTGTCCGTACATGCAAAAGATTGAGGGATTAAAAAACTAAGAGTGATTATTAGTCCCAAAATCAAGGTACAAGTGGGGCAATTCAAGGATAAATCCAAGGGGAACTTGACGACCATTGTCAAAGAAATATTGGATGTCAACCTGGGGCAAGGGAAATCAGAAGATGGCTGATATTAAAAACTCCTTGCCACCTGGATAAGGGAAAGATCATCAAATTCATACATAGTCTTAAAGCGAAATACCAAAAAAAGAAAAAAAAACACCATTGACTCTTCTTCTTCCTCCTCCTCCTCCTCCTCCTCCTCCTCCTCCTCCTCTTCCTTTGTCATCATTTTCTTAACAAAAAAAAAAAAAAATTCCTCTAAGCTAAAAATCTGAAAGGAACCCATGCCTTGGAAAAAAGGCAACCGGGCAAAACACCCGAAAGGGACCCCAGGGGCAATGAAAAAAAAAAAAATATGTTGGGCTTAAATTTTGAAAGGAACCCCAAGCGTTGGAAAAAAGGTTACCGTGTTGAACACCCGAAAGGGACCCCGGGAGCAATGAAAAAGAAGAAGTTCTCTCCTTTCCTTCTATTATCTAAAGTCTTTTCTCTCTAAACATCTTATCTTCCTTCTTCTTGAGTCAGAATGGTGTCAAAAGAAAAATCAATGAGCATTAGCCTGATGGAACTTTGTTAAAGACCTCGATCATTTGGACTTCGAAAGATGAATGGTGGAGGAACGAAATCGAAAATTTAAAGAGATTCTGAATACCCAAGGGCAGTATCCTATATTTTCAAGACTACATTTTGCTCAAAAACACCAAAAAACTCTCCTTTGAATTGAAATATAATAGCTGCGGTTGGAAGATAAAGAAATACTTGATGATTTCTCATCCTAAAGATTTAAGCAAGAAGTCGACAAGCTCGTATAGGGTTCACCAAAGGGGTCACAAGTGGTTAAACTGTAAAACCCACATTAAAAAAAAAATGCTTCAAATTTCATTTCAAAGCTTTTCTTTTAAAAAACACTCCATAGTTGTATGAGTATAACTGCTAACTACCTAGTCCATCGCTGCATGATGTTAAACTCCTTAGAGGGCTCTATGGTTTCAGGAACTAAAACTGCTAACTAAAAATTTGTTTTTCAAAATATCTTTCTTATTTCAAAATTTCACTATATATCTTGTGTTTTCAAAAACTTTAATTTCTTTGTTAAAATCGTAACATGTCCAAGTTCTGGCTTCTATTTCAAATCTCTCCCTATTTTCAAAATTTCTAAAAAGACTTTAAAAAAAAATGCAAGAGCTTGGACACCCGTATATAATGATTACTGTGTTGTCGCCTTATCTCTCTCTTCAGAATTGACGAGGCAAACATATTCCTAAAACAAGTAAAACCTATAGACGATCTTAAGAAACCCTAAAGAAATCAAAGAAAATGTCAGGTTTAAAAATTTGAAATTGTGAAAAACCTTGAAGGTAAGTGGCATGGCCAGAAAATCCAACTCGAGTTTCAAGCTTGTGTAACTCACCGACATCTCACGTCAAAAACCTTAGGATGAAAATGCCTTAGGTGGGTGAGTGGGGCACCCAATGTCTTAGAGGGATACTTGGTGTGCCCTCTGACCACAAAATGTCAGGATGAAAGTTAAAATGGCTGCATTTTCTTTGCTGCTCACCTACCCCTTAAAGGACAGGGAGCACCAAAGAGTATTTACTTCTTTCCCTCGAAGGACAGGGAGTACCAAAGAGGGGTAACTTAGACACCCCATTTTTAAAAAAACGGGCAAATTCCAAGATTTTCCTAACTTTAGATAACCCATAGAAGTTATAGAGAGAGTCAAGAGAAAGAAAAACCTAGCCCTAGGAAAACCCTAATTTTAAGCCACCCTTAGATCAAGAAAGTCATTCAACCAAGCCAAGGCTTGGTCAAAACTTGAACAAAGAGACAAAGAGGACACACGGTATAAACTCAGCCGGTCCTGATACAGGTGAGGCTTGGAAGCCTCAGGAGTCCAGGGCCAACTGGCCCGGTCTAGTATTTCTTTCACCTATCTGCATTTCTTTTCTGTATTTTTTATTTTTATTAGATTAAATCTGTTTTATTGTATTTTATTTTCTATTTCATATTTTGGATCAATGCTAGCTCTACCACTGATCTAAGAGCAAATCTACTCATTTCTGAGCAGATCTGACCTCATATCAGAATTTGATTGTCCCCACTATCTCTATCACTTTTTTAAAATCAATCTATGGTGTTCAGATCTGAGGGATCCTCTTCTAGAGATCTCTATGATTTTGCATCGTAAACTGATAGATATTAAGGATACCCGTGACAGGCGAGCCTATAACCGGCATCAAGCCTGAAAACTATGTTGCTTTTGTCAATGAGTATCTGAGAGATTGCCCTAAAGACGTCACCCCGATGTGTCTTAATCATACATGGTTGAGGAAGAGATTTGAACAACTACCAAAACAGACTACCAAATTAGAACTCACGCAACACACACAAGTGTATCTCCTTGATTTAATTGGCACAAGTATATTTTCCGACTCATCTAAAGGATCGTCGCTTTCAATGTACCTGCAATTGTTTCGAGATTTCGATGGGGCGGGGAAGTATGCATAGGGTATTGTGGCACTTGCTTTCTTATATCGTTCCTTGTCTAAGGTCGCAAGCAGGGACAAAAATCATTTTCATGGGCCAACGACCTTACTACAGGTATTTATCACTATCTTTATAGTTTATATTTACAATATTACAATTTCTTTGGCTTCTTAGTTCTTGTTTTTTCTACAATGCTGGATCTATGAGCATTTTCGAGCTGTAGCCACCAAGGCTACATTGCTCATCAACCCAAGAATGCCTAGAGCTTGCATGTGGAAGAAACAATCATGCCACAAAAACATCTCGTTTGATAACATCTTGTTTGATATGGTTAGTGGTTGGCTTGTGTACTTATATTCTAGTAGATAATCAACCTAGGAATGCCTTGGCTTGTTGGCTTGTATGCTTACTTAATGTGTCATGTTTTTTTTGTGGGTGACCTAGCAACCATATGAGGAGTCACATGAAATTGCAGAATACTTCATGTGCTTATCATACCTCATAAGTTTCAACATTACAGAGTATTATATGTCTGATCGCATGCTGCGACAATTTGGGAAGGTGCAAGGGATTCTTGTTATGCTACCCAAGTGGGATAGGAGGGACAAGGTTGGTATACACCCCACAAATCGAACTGAAGAGTTGAGCAGGCAAATAAAAGATTGGAAGTAATGAGAACGTAATGTTGTCAAGACAGCCCTGAATAAATTTGGTGGTGTACCTATAGAAGAGTACATGACTTGGTACAACATGTTTATACAAAGATTTAGAAAAACCCCCATGCCCCCCCCTGTTGCAGACGCAATCCCATATACAATCCTCCACAAGGCATGATGATGATAGTAGATTGCTATACTATTTCTTATATATATATTGTTATTTAATTGTCTTAAGATATCTTAAAATTATAAAAAATAAAACTAATGGTCTATTTTCTTTTTTTATTGACTACTTGCAACGACATACATGTATAGAGATACTACAAGCTACGCTTAATGGTGAAGTATTAGCTGGAGAATCCAGACGTTATGTACAGGTGGCTCATGATCTACTATTGGGTAACACTTCTGTAGAGACAAGTGCGAACTAGGGGTGGAGAAGTGGAAAGTGAACGTGAGGAGGACGATGATAGTGAAAGCGAAGAAGACGATGATGGTGGAGAAGATGATATTCAAAGCCACGATGATGGTGAGAGCAACGATGAAAATGAGAGAAGAACAAAGAAAAAAGCAGATCACTTCCAAACACCGACGTTGTAAGAGGAATCGAGATGGAATTTGCGATCTTGAAGAGATGGAAGGACTATAGCGGAAACCGATGTGAGGGTTGAGATGGAGAAATTTAACCCTTTTTTTTAGTTTGATATGTATGTTTGAAATAGATGTAAAGTAAAGAAAATGGTTGATATTGATTTTGATGTTGACTTTGATATGTATTTTTTTATATTAAAAAGGAAATGATTCAAAGATAGTTGGATATATATGTTATTTGCCTTTCTTAATGATGATGGTATTTGGTTTTTCTCCCTAAACTGCAACTCTATTGCAAATTCTTTGTGATTACAAACATGAACACTTTTATAGTATGGAAATTGTCCAATCCTCATACCAAGCATAATGCAAGTTACTCAGATCAATCATCCACTTTCTGTACTTATCAACAGACAATATAGATGCTCATCTCTACCATTTTTATATAAGTAAGGCCGATGGATATATTACACCAACCCAGCATGAGCATAGTATATGGTCCCTTTAAGATACACATTGCATATTATAAGATTTTAAGTTTCTTGATTTTTCAAGTCTTATGGATATGCCTTGACTGAGTTCAAATTGAGTCATATGATCCTATTTAAACCATTTGCAGCCCTTGTCAAGTCCCCATCGAGATGCCATTCCTTATGGTATTGAACATTTGAAACAGAGGTTCATTATAAGCTTCAATTGTACTAGCATACAGATTTTTCTTTGACTTATGATTTGATGAAGAAGTTGGAATGTGAAAAAGAAGCTTCCATTACATTGTGACTGACATCACATCCATCTACCACTTAAATAGAAATCTAAAAGTAGTTGTAAAGAGAGGTCCGACAGTACATGTACTGCACTCCGACAGTATCACTGAGCGCTCCAGCAATTTCAATGCTCGCTTCGGCAGTACCACATCGCACCGGCAGTTTAAAAGCATAGTCTGACAGTGGTCGCTCTGGCCATTGCAAAGAGCGCTCCGGCAGTAAAGGTTCTGTTAGTCACAGCACTCCGGCAGTTTCGAAGCACGATCTGGCAGTACATGTTCTAGAAGTACTATTGCTCCGAAAGTTTCAATGCTAGATCCGGCAGTACCATATCTCTCCAGCATTTTCAAAGAGCAGTCCGACAGTGGTCACTCTCGTAGTTACAAAGAGCGCTCCGGTAGTGAATGTCATGTTAGTCACAGTGCTCCGGAAGTCTCTAAGCTCAATCCGGCAGTACATGTTCTGGACGTACTACCGCTCTGGCAGTTTTAATGCTCGCTCTGATATTACCACATCGCTTAGGTAGTTTTTGAAAGTACGATCCAACAGTGGTCGCTCCAGTAGATGCAAATAGTGCTCCGACAGAAAAGGTTTTGTTAGTCACATCGTTCCCACAGTTTCAAAGCACGATCTAGTAGTACATGTTATGGAAGTACTGCCGCTCCAACAATTTCAATGCTCGCTCCGGCAGTACCACATCGCTTAGCCAGTTTGAAAGCACGGTTCGGCAGTGGTCGCTCCGGCAGTTGCAAAGAGTGCTCTGGCAGTAAAGGTTCTGTTAGTCACAGCGCTCCGGCAGTTTCGAAGCACGATCTGGCAGTACATGTTCTAGAAGTACTGTTGCTCCGAAAGTTTCAATGCTAGATCGGGCAGTACCATATCTCTCCAGCATTTTCAAAGAGCGGTCCGACAGTGGTCACTCTCGTAGTTACAAAGAGCGCTCCGGTAGTGAATGTCATGTTAGTCACAGTGCTCCGGAAGTCTCTAAGCTCAATCCAGCAGTCAATGTTCTGGACGTACTACCGCTCTGGCAGTTTTAATGCTCGCTCTTATATTATCACATCGCTTAGGTAGTTTTTGAAAGTACAATCCAACAGTGGTCGCTCCAGTAGTTGCAAATAGCGCTCCGACAGAAAAGGTTTTGTTAGTCACATCGTTCCCACAGTTTCAAAGCACGATCCAGTAGTACATGTTATGGAAGTACTGCCGCTCCAACAGTTTCAATGCTCGCTCCGACAGTACCAGTTTGAAAGCACGGTTCGGCAGTGGTCGCTCCAGCAGTTTCAAAGAGCGGTCAGGCAGTACATGTTCTGGAAGTACTGTCGCTCCAATAGTTTAATGCTCGCTCCGACAGTACCACATCCCTCCAGCATTTTCAAAGAGCGCTCTAGTAGTAAAGGTTATGTTAGTCACAGCGCTCCGGTAGTTGCGAAGCTCGATCCCGCAGTACATGTTCTGAACGTACTGCCGCTTCGGCAATTTCAATGCTTGCTCTGACAGTACCACATCTCTCTGGTAGTTTGAAAGCACGGTCCGACAGTTGTCGCTCTGGCAGTTACAAATAGCGCTCCAGCATAAAAGGTTATGTTAGTCACAGCGCTCCGGCAGTTTCAAAACGCGGTCCGGTAATACATGTTTTAATCTCAGCGCTCCGGCAGTTTCAAAGATCAATCCAGCAGTACATGTGGTTTCACTGCACTCCTGCAATTTCAAAGGTCTATCCAACAGTATTGAGTTTCGGTCCGGCAATGCGATGGTTCACTCCGGAAATGTGTTTTTGTGGTCCGATAGTCAACGTGAAATCTGGTGAAATTGATTATTTTTGTACAGGAAGGGGATTTCCATCCAAAAAAAAAAAACGTTTTTGTTGGGAGGGTATTTGCATAGAAAGTATACTTTTGGAAAAAAAGTGAGAGAATAAGTTGGGTTAGGGGTAAGTTGCATAGTAAGTGTAGTCTTGGGGTTTTTTTGTAATGTTCCCAAAATTTTAAATAAGCCACGGGGATTAATTCCACATCAAAAAAATGTCTAGAGTCATGGGGTTGTAAAGTCTATAAAAGGGGTGGGAGAGTTTGTGATCATATTTTAAATTCTAAATCCATCGGGTTCGGGCCTGCTTATTTTAAGTTATGGACAATTTGAAGTTAGTGGGTACGGGTTCAGGTATGCATCCTCAAGTGAAGTTTCGGGTTCCGGCCTGGGTTCAATATTGCTCGACTCATACTTGACCGGTTGCCACCCATACTTGACCCGTTGCCGCCCAATATTACTCGACCCATACTTGACCAGTTGCCACCCCTACATTAGTGAGTCTGACACCAATTCTTCATTTATGGTAATAGATTTCAATTTTTCATTTATGGTAATAGATTTTGACATCAATTCTTCATTTATAGTAATAGTCTTTGGATTTCATTGATGAAATGCAAAGGATTCTATTATAACCTGCTTTTTTACCTAATAATAGAAATGATTCTTCATTTATGGTAATAGATTTTGGATTGGTTGATGAAATGCAAGGGATTCTATTGTAACCTGTTTTCTTACCAAATAATAGAAATGAATGAATAAAAGGAATTTATAAATTCTTAAATCGATTTCGAAACAGCCAAAAACCTAAAGGGTGTGGTTTCTACAAGGTTGCAACCTTATACAATCCAATTAAGCTGTACCTCCTAATTTTATTATAACATGTAATTTTGGAATAAAAATTCATAAGATTGTAAGAAAATCTATTTTCATATCTAATTATAAAATTTTAAAACTTAAAAAATGGTTTAACTCAAGTAAATCTAAAATTTTGAAAATGAACTGTGTAGAAAATGTCTAGAAAATGTGTCGCAAGACTCAAAGTCCTTTTCTTTATTTTTTTTAATATTCAGAATATTCATACATCTCGATGTTGAGATGATCAATTAAAGGGTTTTTCAACATTAAAACAACATTTCTGATGGATTTTTGAGGTGCATCTTTAATTCTACATTTTAAGGTTGCAACCTTATATAAACTTTGGCCAAACATAAAGCCTAGGCTCTAAACAATCAAATTAGAGCCTACCTTCAAACATTGCTGAGAAATGTGGTTTCAATACTGGAAATCTTTGTGATGGTCTTAAACTATATTTTCATATTTATTTATAAAGTTTAAAGCTTCAAAAATAGTGTAGATCGACAAATCTATAAAAACTTGAAAATCTTGAAAATTGACGGTCCAAAAAAGGCATTATACCCTATTTCCAAAAACTTGAAGTCTATTTTTTTTCATGTCCATGTATCTTGATGTTGAGATGATCAATTTGAGGATATTTGGGTATCAAAACAACCTCTTCTATTGAAATTTTAAGGTAAGCTCTAATTTGATTGTTTATAGCCTTGACTCTAAACAGACTTTTCCCTTTTGAAAATATAAGGATTTTACGTTTCCACCTACCCAAATGGTCCATTAGGGAAGGGTTGCTTCGTTGAAGAAACTCCGGACCCAGTCACAAAAGCATTGTGGAAAATGAGTTTCCTTGTCTAGAAAAAACCTGAAATTTGCTTTTCAATTCTCCCTTGAATCACGCAATGGTCTCTCCTATTTTACTGATTCAATGACAATGTGATATTTTTCACTTCTCATAAATTTCACATTAGGTATACTTCCTCAAAGAAACTCTAGTGGAAACACCTCAAACAATGAATTTGGAAACAATACAAGCAGTGTACTTAATTGAAATCATTATAGAACAATACCTATAGGGCCAAGGCTGGGTCGGCCCAAGCCAAAAAAAATGAAAAAAAAATAAAAGAAAAAAATTAAAAAAAGGAGAGCTGAGATGGGCCTGCACTGGCCCTAGCCCTAACCCGGCCCTTAGGCCATTGTATGTGGCCCCAGGCCCTACTCTTTTAGGATCGGGCTGGGCTGCCCACCCCATTGCCAGCCCAACTGTATGTCTTTGAGAGATGGCTCAATGACATGAAATAGCATCAATAAACTGTTGGGAGAAATGTAGAGTTGCACATTACTTATTAAGGATTATGACTCCAGAGTTTATGTCCAAGAGCTTACACACACAAGGATCACAGTCAGCCTTAGCCATCTGATTGAAATACGATAATCTAGAGTTTCATAAAAATTTATTATTTTGGATTGAGAGCTTAGTCTCTGGCATACTTACTTTGGACTGAGAGTTTAGTCACTGGCAGATCTATAGCTGCCCAATTTCACATCCAATGCCAGAGGGTAGTTGTGACCTTCTTATATGCAAATAATCTTATTGTATAATTGCACTATAAAATATGTCACAATTGAGTAGTAAATTAGTCCAAAAAAAAACAAATAATCAAAACACACATTCTCCTCTCAAACCACAACAAAAGGTCGGCAAACTACATGAAACCAAAAACTATTGAAATGAAGTTGTTGAAAATCCGTTGAATAACCACTTGTGAAAATCTGCATTCTCTTCTAAAATCATGAACTGGCCATTTG